AATGCCTCTCTACAGTACCTATGAACCAGCAAATATCATATCGCACAGTACATCCCACACCACTACGACCACTTCATCATCCACGACCAGCACTACTGCATCGCCAGCGATCAGTGGTAGCAGCTCGAACGAAGCGTTCGTTGCTCATCGAAAGCTCTCAGAGACAGATCTCCGCAAGCCCAGATCATCAGTCCCGGAGAGGGCAGTAAATGCATCTTCAAGTTCAGCTTCATCGCTTTCTATGGCACCAAATCCTTCCTGGTATAACGAAGATGTGCGTGATGTGAGTCAGTACTATAAGAACCATCGTAAAAAGCGAAAAAAGTCGCGAGTGGTGAAAAAATCGCGCAGTCTTTTCAACAAATTGTTTCGTCGTCGTCGAAAGAGTTATGAAACGCTGAAAGAGGAAGAAGAAGAGGATTCGCCGCAAGAGGAAGGACGCAGGCTGGGACATCAAGTAATTTTTTACTTGACACTTAATAGATCCATGTTAGTGCGCACACAAAATGTGGCTAATTTTCGTATATATAAACAGTGCCGGTTGGGATGCACCAGGCTTGCCGGCGCGGTCGTTTGTTTTTGCACCAAACTTGAAGCAATCAGGTCGTCACCTGTACGAATAATTCTTGCTTTACACATACTTTGTGTGCTCACTAATCTGAATCATCGTAAATTTTGTATAAAGGAAAGTGAAAAATTTCTTTCGAGCCGGCGTTCCTTTAAAATGAACTAATTCCCAGTGAGTAATTTTTCTGTCAAAACTTTTAGCCACCCGTACGCGAGGATGACGCACGTCTGGGGGATGAATTTGAAATCTTTAAGCGATATGTGGACGAAGAAGATCTCATTAAAATTTCAACTTTCCAGCTTTTCTTGTTTTCGAGTTATCAATTTCCTCGCCAAAACTTCCACGTGCTCGTACGCGGGCTCAGACGTGCGTAAAAGTTGGTGCTGCGGTCCTGGGGTGACTGCTGGGGAGCCCACTGGCTAAATTTTAGTACCGGAGCTTGCTTGGTTGGCGAGTTGAAATATCTGGACAGACGTACACACCCACACGCACACATAAACATACATACACACCATTGGTCGTCGAAATATGCGTTTTTGCATTGGCACATGTGCAAAAACTTATAAGTATAACGCCCATAATTTCTTAGCATCATACGCAGAACGATTAGTGGAAAAGGTATTCACGCACACGTACTGTTACCTCTGGGCATGAAACTTTGAAGAACTTTCTCTGTTTAGAATATGGGCCATCACAAAATCTTTAGTCAGTACTACCATCTTTTTCAAAAAACTAATTCAACTGAGTTTCTTTTTATTAAAATTTAGGGGCTTCGGTACTTTAATCGGCCGTAGTTCCGTAGCATTGTCTGCCAAATGTGAAGCTGATATTTTTACCAAATGCTTTGACCAGCGCTGCATCGCTTATTGGTCAGCCTTCTCTAAGTCCGGTGCATGCTGCCAAAATATTCAATGTCAAAAATTATTTAATAGTTTTTTAGTAATAAGTAAGTTATAAAGCAGTTGTAACAATTTTCAGGTGTCTGACTTATCCGAAAGAATAAGGATACTTCTGGAATCAAATCCCAATGTCTACAGAGCGATTCTAGCAACGAATCTGCGATTACATCAAAATAATCCGTGGGAAGCGGGCTGGGGATGTGGTTATCGAAATTTACAGACGCTAGTGGATAGTATTGCATGCGATCAAGTGTTAAGCGAGGCCAGTGGCTTAGATAGGTAGTAACCAACAGATTTCACTTTCAAGCCCTACGCCGTTCTCATTGCTTCTTAAAAAACTTACATTGATGCTTTGATTAGCTGTTGTTCCATCATCGAGTTCTTTTCAGCCAGTAGTTTAACTGGCGGCTTTTCAGTTCTTTTCTAATTTGGGCTTGTAGCATTTATTTAGCTTTATATAAGATTTCAGTAGCATTAGTTCATCTCACCGAAAACTTACTAAAAGTTACATGGGTGCCGTTCAAGGATCGGCTTTGCCCATCTTTTATCTCATATATCCGTTACAAGACTAGCCCAGTGTTTTTTCCGGCACAGACTGCTTTGGATAAACCTCTGAAGCAAAATTAAAACCGTAATACTTCAGTTTTGCATCCTGTTCGTTTTATCAGTTGTCTGCTAGGCTCGTTGGATCACTGTTAAAATGATTTTATTAAGTGTGATATTTAATGTTTCACAGCCCGCACTAGGAGATTTGGGAGCAGAAAGTGTCAAAAACAACGTTTATTTTTACATTGTTGTAAGTCTGGGAAATGGCGATAGAATTTATTTGAAATTTGATACGGACTTCCTTTCACTCCTCAACGTAGTCATTATGACAGAATTCTTGTTCTAACGGCGTAAAAAAGACTGAGTCTCGTAGCAAAAATTAAGACGCATTCACTTCAGACTTGTTAGTAATCCTACCCAATTTAGGCATTTTTTGAACATTCGCTCTGTGCTAGATAGTTCAAAATTTCCACCTTTTAATCGTCTGCTGTTTCATCGCCGCATTTCTTCTCAGCACTGAAACATTCCGCCAATTTTTTCTAATTTATGCTTTATTCGATATGTTATGATTTTAAAATCATTTATTTGCTGGTACATTCCAAAAAATTTTTAAGCATTCCGACATTTCTCGAAATTCAAGGGATAATTGAAGAGGCATGGCAAGCAGGATTTGATCCGGATGGAGCCAGGAGCATGCGCAACTCTGTCATCAGTAGCACTAAGTGGCTTGGTGCTAGTGATGTCGCTACTTTTTTGCAAGTACCAATTTCAGAAGATTTTTGCAAACATCTAAATTTTGCTCAAAAAATTTTACTTTAAATATATTTATTTCAAGATA